TCCCCCCAGGGGTTCCCACCATTCCCGATCCAAACCCCTCCCCCCACCGCAGGGCCCGGCTGCAGTGCAGGGGTCACCACCCAGTCGATCGGGATCTACCAGGTCTTGGAGCCTCTGCCAGGTGATCCCGGCTGTCATGGACCCACCCTTCAGATGGTCCTTCCCCCCCTGCATCTCCCCCCTCAGTAGGCCCCTGCTTTCTGGGCAGGGCAGGGGTGCTCATGTCAAGATGGCCTCTCCCACTCTGTATCCTCTCTCCACAGAACAGAGAGGGGGCACAACAGGACTTGGGAGGGAGTTTGTTGGCTGCTTTTAGGAGCAGTGCAGGGCAAGGGCATGGACCCACCCTTCAGATGGTCCTTCCCCCCCTGCATCTCCCCCCTCAGTAGGCCCCTGCTTTCTGGGCAGGGCAGGGGTGCTCATGTCAAGATGGCCTCTCCCACTCTGTATCCTCTCTCCACAGAACAGAGAGGGGGCACAACAGGACTTGGGAGGGAGTTTGTTGGCTGCTTTTAGGAGCAGTGCAGGGCAAGGGCAGGGGTGAGCCGGCCTTAGCCCCACGACCCAGGAGCCACCTGAGCTAGCAGGGCCCAGCTGGTGCCCACATCCCAAGACCCTACCCGTCATGAACCCACTCCAGTACCCCAAACCCCTGCCCTAGCCCCGAGCACCCTGCATCCAAACCCCCTCCAGAGTCTGCACCTAGAACCCCCTCCAGCATCCCAACAGCCTGGCCCAGGCTCAGCTCAGAGCCCCTCTCACTCCAAATACCTTAATCCAAGACCAGAGCCTGCACCCCAACCTGGTGAAAGTGAGGGAGGATGGGTTGGGGACTCAGAAGGGGGACAAAGGAGGCGGGGCAGGGATACTTGGGGCGGAGGTAGGTCTTGGATTGCACTTAAATTCAAAAAGTGATCTCGTGCTTACAAAGGCTGGAGACCACGGGGGTAGAGTAACCTAGCGGGGGCAGTGGTGTGTGCGGGGAAGGGTCTTCAACCCACAGGCCGGCCCGGGGCCCGGTTCCAAGTCCCTGCCAGGGGCGATGAAGCAGCCAGGCTGGGTGCTGAGGGACTGGGGCAACTGCTCAGCAGGGGGAGGAGAGCAGACAGACAGGCAGAAAGTAAATCAAGGCCCCATCCAGCTTTTCGCCTTGGTCTGGGCCAGCTGGGTCAGAGCCTGGTGGAACGCAGGGGTAGGGCACCCACTCCACTGTGCTTGGAAAGCTGCCCCACCAGCCATGCTGCTGGGACAGGAGGCACTGGGGTTGAGGCAGGAGGCAGTGCGTAAGGCCCCGGCTTGGCTTCTGTGTGTGAATGAGGGTCACATCCTCCCCAGAAAACCAGCAGCATTAGCCACCTCCAGCAGCCCCGGATCCAATGCTGCAGATGGGATAGGACCCAGAAACCCAAGCGCACTGCCCCCTCCACACCAACTGGGTCCATCCAACTGGCACAGCTGCAGGTTCCCAGGGGCCCGGGTGAGCTCAGCAAGGCCCTAGAACCAGCTGCTGAGAGCTGGGAACTCCCTGGCCCCTGACTCCTGGCACCAGCAGCAGCTGCTGCAAGGACATTGGCAGAGGGCAGGACAGAGGCACAGGAAGCCTGCTGTGCACTCACATCACCACCCCCCTCTAGCAGCGTGGAGTCGGATCCAAGGGGTTAGCATCCCCCTGTGGAACTGATGGAATCGCACGCTGTTGCAGGAGAGCCCAGCGCAGGCTGGGCTGGACAGGGGAACCCCCAGTGCTTCCCCCATGTCCCACACCTGGATACAAACAGAGCTGGGGGCTACCAGGCAGTGAGCCCACAGATCAGGGAAAGCTTCCAAGCGGAGGAGGCATGGGGGAGTGGGAGAGCTAGGCCCAGGGCACTTGATCAGGCCCTGGTTCTAGGAAGGGAGTGGGATTGAGGGGTTGGGGGGGGAGCCAGGATTCCATCCAGACAGCCAGCATCAGGGCCTTGAGAAAAGGGGCTGCTCCACATAAAACCAATGTGGGTTTGATGGAACACAGGGGATGGCCCTTCGGGAGGAGGAAAAGCAAGCTAAGGAGCGCTCTCACCGGTGCCCCCTTCCATGGGGCCAGCTGCTGGGGCAGCACTGGGCTGGAGCAGGGGGAGGCCACAGAAAACAAAAAGGCAGGGA